AGAGAGAGAGAAGGGGGGGGAGTGAGGAGGCCCATCTGGCCCAGCCCCAGCAGGGCTGTAGTTAATGGCCCGTAAACTGAAGGCTGACAGTGAGGAATAGGGCCCAGCTGCTGAGTCAAGACCAATAAGCTCAGAGACTCGATAAGGGCTCTACCCTTGTGAGAGTCGGCGATGGCCAAGAAGCCTCCCACCAAGCCTGTTCCCCTCTCCCACCACAGCACTGGTGATCTGCAAACCTTCACTGCAGGGGCCAAAAGGAGCAGCAGATACGGGGCCAGGAGCCTTGGGTTTTAGGCCAAATTCCACCAAATGCCTGGCTGTGTGACCCTACATAAACCATGGAGATAGGAGTCTCTGTCTTGTCTATTTCACAGGCTTAATCATCTTAATTGCTGCTATTTATTGGGCCTTGGCAATGAGCCAATACTTGTCCTAAGTATTTTACACATACAACCTCATTTAATCTTCTCAACACCCCATGATATAGTGTGGCTCAGAGAGGTTAGTGACCAGTGACTTTGGCACCCTGCTGGACTACTTTTCCCACTTCTTTACATCAAGCTGGAGTCATGTGACCAGCTAGCACCAGGAAGAGATGGGCCATAGCGTGGGAAAGTGGTTGTGCTTTCTCACCACTCCCTCTCCATATTCATCCGCTGCCCAGACCCAGCAGTGGAGGATTCCAAAACCATCATGTGGAGCCTGGGTCCCTGAACAATGTGTGGCATAGAGACCCTCCTCTTGCTCACACTGAACAGTAATGTGAGTAAGAAATAAACGTCTACTGTGTTAAGCCACTGAGCAGCCCCCTGACTGGTAGAGGTGGTTACTACACTAATAATTACCATTTTGCTCTGAGGAAATGCACCTGTCTGTCTGTCATTCTCTGAAGGCCAATCTCTAGGCGATGCTTTGGTCATTTGAGCCAATGATTTCAAACTGGGGTGGAAGGGAGTTTGGGATGGGACTGCAGATCTTGTGGCCTCCACTGCTCATGGATCAGTGACAGCCTCACCCCACTGGCCATCCATCTAGCTCCTTAAAGGTCAGCCATCCACACACTTCTGGCCAGGGGCTACATGCTCACAAATCCGCCATCCATAATCCCATTGATAATTTCCTTTGGCCAGCAATCCATATGACTACTGACTAGCCATTCATCCTCACCACAGTCAACCATTCCCATTCCCATTGGTTGACTATCCATATTCCCACTGGCCAGTTATCCACACTGATCAGCAGTCCATATCTCTACCCTCGTAAGTGGCCTATAAACCCAGAGGCCCATGTGCTGCCTCCTGTGGCCACTCACCCCGGGGAAGGGTCACAGCCATGATCATGATGGGTACACCAACACCTGATGCCAGGACCCATATGCAGATGTTGATCAGCTTGGCCTTGGCGGGCGTGCGGAAGTCCAGGGCCTTGACGGGGTGGCAGACAGCAATATAGCGGTCCACACTCATCATGGTGAGTGTGAAGATGCTGGTGAACATATTATAGTAGTCGATGGAGAGCACAGCCTTGCAGAGAAGTTCCCCGAAAGGCCACGTCTCCATCAGGTACTTGGCGCTCTGGAAGGGCAGCGTGCTGGTGGCCAGTGCATCTGCCAAGGCCAGGTTGAAGATGTAGATGTTGGTGGCTGTCTTCATCTTCGTGTACCTTAAAGGGAAAATGCACATATAACTGTCCCAATGCACAGGTTTCCGTTCCACTTGAAACTCAGGGAGGCAAAATGACTGATTCAAGGTCACACAAAAGTCGGGGGCAGAGGAGGGACTAGAACCCTGACCTCTCTGATTCAGCATCATTCCTTTCCATTCTAACAGATGAAAGAGCATTTATCTGGCTTGGAGTAACTTTGGCAGAAGGTATTTTAGGAAAAAACCCTGATCTTTTAAAAATAAAAAAGCTCCAGAGGGAAGCAGGTCTAGGTTCGAATCCTGCCTCTACTGTTTGTCAGCCGAGTGCTTCTGGGCTAGTAACTTGACCTTTCTAAGCCTTAGTGTCCACAACTGTAAAAGGAGGGACAATATTTTTACCAATCTCATTGAGTTGCTATGAAATGTAATGAGATGATATAGCACTTAGGCCAGAGCGCAAAGCATGATAAGTGCTTGGTATATGATAGATGCTATTATTCTTCAAGTACAAAGAACGGAGCTGGGGGCTAGACCAGAGTGACCTGACCCTCTACCACTGACCTGGCCTTTTGGGAATATGATTGGGCAGCTGTGATGGAGGGACTCTGCCTAGCAGAATGACTAGGACCTTAGACCACCTGGAATGTCCTCCATGGGCTCTGTCCTTCCTACCGCCCTTTCCAGACTATCTTATTCCCATACAGCTGGACTCACCCAGCTGTAGGAAAGGGGAGCAGGGGACAGCGTCAGACCTCCAACACAGAGCACATGCCCAGGTGTCCAAGCCAAATGTCCTCAACCAGGCCCGGTACCTGAAACTCTCCACCATCCATCCCTCCACGGTCTATGCTGCCACACAGCTGCTTGCACCACAGCTGGCCTTGGTTTGGCCAACATTTCCAGTCCTGGGCTGGGCACCAGGTACGCTGGAGGAGGCTCGTACACTGAAAACAGTTCCAGTGGAATGTGATCATGGAAACATACCAGTGCACCGAGGCAGGGGTAAGGACTGCTTTCATGTCTCTGGAATGATCCGAGAAACCCAAAGAAGAGCTGTGACTCCTCAAAGTTCAGAGCAGAAGAACTCTGAGAGGTGGAGGGGCGTGATTTTATGATCATGTGGTCCAAGGACTTTCCTCACAATCATTGGAAGAACCCCAAGAAATGCAGATCCTGGGACCCCACCCCCGACCTTGAGATCTTAATCTCTGGGAATCTTCATCTTTAACCAGAACCCCCTCCCCCAAGTGATTCTTATGGATCTTAAAGTTTAAGAAACACGATGTAGCCTATTGCCCATGTTGAGAGATGGGGAAACGGAGCAAAGGTGAGGCGTGACAGTGGCAGAGCTAAGTCAAGAACTTAGACCTCCTGACTCCCGGACCAAGGCTTTCTCTCCACTCTACCCCAAGGGTGGAACCGCACTTCTGCCTCTACCCCTCTAGGCTGGACCGATGCGTGCCCTCAAGGTGTTTGGAATGACTGAATGGATTCTACCTGCTAAGGCTCCATGATGTCACTGATTTGTTTGGCTTAAAAAAAAATATGCTGAGTCACTCATTGTCCTCCAGGGCCAGCATCTGTCCTACTCCCTCCCAAAATAGCCGTCACTTGTCCTGCAGCTGGAGAAGCAGAAAGTTTTGCTAGAAGACAGCAGAACTGCAAGTCTTGGAAAGTCTGTCTTCAGTGGGGTGCGGGATCACAGCTGTGTGGGAGGCAGTCTCAACCCCACAGCTGACTCGTCTAATTTTGCTTCTTTTACGCAGAACAATTAGAGGCTGTTCTTTGCCTGCTATTTTGATTTATGAAGGCTCCTTCAATTCCCGGGGAAAAATTATTATCTTTTATATTGCTAAAAGAAAGTTAAGATTTTTTTTCATTTTCCTTTTCTGCTGTAGCTGATCCAGGCAGGGCTGAGAGGCCGAGCACTGCCAGCCAGAGCCCCCTCTCCTCACAGGCCTCCCACCCCGCAGCTAACCAGCCCCAGCCCTGTCCTGTTGGCCTCTTCTGACAAATCATGCCACTCTGCCCTAGTTGGTTTTGCTCAGTGGTTAGACCACCGGCCCTCGGCCTGAAGGGTTGCGGGTTCAACTCCCAGCCAAGGGCACGTACCTCAGTTGCAGGCTCCATCCCCAGTGCTGGTTGGGAGTGTGCAGGAGGCAACCAATTGACGTGTCTCTTGCACATTGATGTTTCTCTCTCTCTGTTTCTCCCCCCCACCCCCACCCGACCCTTCTACTTTCTCTAAAATTCAGTGGAAAAAATATCCTTGGATGAGGATTAACCAAAAAAAATAAATATAAAATCATGCCGCTCTCCTGCGCTCAAGGCCAATTCCACAAACTGGCCCCAACCGCCTCTCAGGCCTCAGCTCCCAGAACCTTCCCCTGATGGCTGCCCCCCACCCCTCACTTCTTCCCTGTTCCTTGGACACATCCAGCCCATTTCCACCTCAGGGCCTCTGGACTGCTGCTCACTCTTCCTAGAAGCCTTGAGTTCCCAATTGTGCATGGCTTGCTCCTTCACTTAACTCAGGACTCTATTCAAATGTCGCCTCCTCAGAGAGGCTGCCCTGACCTCCCTATCCCTACCATCGCTCTCTCGCTCCTAACACTGCTTCATTTTCTTTATATCACGAACTACCGCCTGACTTAATATTTATCTTCTTTTCTGTCCATTTGACTCTCTCGCCCACATAAACTCCCCGAAGACAGGCCTTTTGTCCATTTTGTTCCCTGCTGTATTATCGGCCCTACCAACAGTGCCTGGTAAATAGCAAGCGTTCAATAGGCATCTGTTGTATAGGCCAGGTCTCACCAGCTCTCACAGGGACCACCACCGCAGCCTCTCCGCCCCTCAAGTCATCATCCACATAAGCCGGGGTGCTCACAATAACAGGCAGATTTGCTCAGGAAACTCTTCTTCTTACAGTCCTTCTGTGGCTCCCCATTGCCATCTGGATAAAAGCCAAACCCCTCCGACGGGCATTCCATCTGCGCCGGCTCCTTTCCCACAGTGCCTCCGCGCCCAGCCACTCCATCTCGCATCCCCTCCCCGCTCAGAGACAGCCACTATAATGGTTTGGCGGGACTCCTTCCAAACCACATATATGCATATAGCTTTTTATAAAATTTTATTTCTGCCAGTGTAATCCAATGACATCATATAAAAAGTCACATAGCACCATAATGAAAATAGGTGCCCCTCTGCCCTCCCCTTCCCCATGCCTTTGGCCTGCTCGCCAGAGCCACCACTTTTCACGTTTTTAGTTATTCTTCTAATCATTATCTCCATCATTCTAAACAACATGTTTAAATGGTGGTTTCCTGATGTAGCCATGTTAGACAGTAGCTGAAGTTTGTATTCGGTCGAGCCAGGCTAGGCAGCCGTGACAAACAATCCCCAAATCTCAATGGCTTAACACACCAAGGTCTCTCTCTCACCCCTGCAGAGTGCTGTCAGTGCTTCCAGGACTATATGACACAAGGCAATCCCAGCCCACTGTAATCGTGCGGCTCTGCCTGAGGCCTCCTTGATCACCGGAGGGAGGGAGAAGAGACAGCTGCAGGGCCATCTAGGCTCTGGTCTAGCTGCAGCATAGCACTTCCACCTGCAGCCCACGGACTAGAACTAGTCCTGTGGCCCCAGCCAACAGCAAGGGGCTGAGAAATGCAGTCTTTTATGTGCCCAGAAGCAGGGAGAATCAGGTATTACGGAACACTAGCAATGACCTCCCCAACTCCCTATTATGGCGGGAGAGGATTCACTCTCTTACACGACCCAACGCCACCGCCCCTCCCCATTCTTCCAATATAGTTTTACCACAATTTTTAAAATTTAAGTTAAACCGATATTCAAGGTTTATACTCTTTTTTTGTGGGGTTTATAGTCTTTTTCTTTCTTTTTTTAAACAAATATATTTTATTGATTTTTTACAGAGAGGAAGGGAGAAGGAGAGGGAGTTAGAAACATCGATGAGAGAGAAACATCCATCAGCTGCCTCCTACACACTCCCTACTGGGGATGTGCCCGCAGCCAAGGTACATGCCCTTGACCGGAATCGAACCTGGTACCATTCAGTCCGCAGGCGGAAGCTCTATCCACTGAGCCAAACCAGTTAGGGCGTGGGGTTTATATTCTTACTAGAGGCCCAGTGCACAAAAATTTGTGCACTGGTGGGGTGTCCCTCAGCCCAGCCTGTGCCCTTTCTCAGTCCTGGGATCCCTCGTGGGATGTCCATTTGCTGGCGTAGGCCCGCTTTCCGGGGGATCAGGCCTAAGCTGGCAGTCAGATATCCCTTTGGCAGCCTGGGAGCCCTTGGGAGATGTCCACTTGCCAGTAGGGAGCAGGCCTAAGCTGCAGTTGGACATCCTTAGCTCTGCTGAGGAGGCGGGAGAGGCTCCCCCCACCACCACTGTGCTGGCAGCCATCAGCCTGACTTGTGGCTGAGCAGAGCTCCCCCTGTGGGAGTGCACTGACCACCAGGGGGCAGCTCCTGCATTCAGCATCTGCCTCCTGGTGGTCAGTGTGTGTCATAGTGACCAGTCATTCCCAGTCGTTCTGCTGTTAGGGTCAATTTGCATATTAGCCTTTTATTATATAGGATGACTTTGTCGATATTGTCCACTGCTGAGCCAAATGGTATGCTATAATCACATTTATTTTCTAATACAGATTTTTGTTTTTCCTGGAATTAATAATTGCCTCTTTTTTTTCTTCATTTGTACACATCTTGCTAAATCTCCTCAAACATTCCAGCAGACCCATAAAATGCCTTTCCCATGTACTCACATAATATACCAGTTCCTTTTCCTAGTGATCTATCTCCTGGAGTCACTCTCCTTCCCTTGCTTTTTTTTTAATCCTCACCAGAGGGTATGTTTCCATTGATTTTTAGAGAGAGGGGAAAAGAGAGGGAAACACAGAGAGAATGCCCTTGACCGGAATCAAACCCAGGACCCTCGGGTCTGCAGGTTGACTCTCTGCCCACTGAGCCAAAGCGGCCAGGGCCCTCCTCCCCTTTCACTCCGCGGGTG